TCTATCACCATGTCTCCATGTCTCTATGTCTCTATCACCATGTATCCATGTCTCTATCACCATGTCTCCATGTCTCCATGTTTCTATCACCATGTCTTCATGGCTTCATGTCTCCATCAACATGTCTCCATGTCTCCATGTCTCTATCATCATGTCTCCATGTCTCTATCATCATGTCTCCGTGTCTCCATGTCTCTATCACCATGTCTCCATCCCCATGTCTCCATGTCTCCATGTCTCCATGTCTCCATCCCCATGTCTCCATGTCTCCATGTCTCCATGTCTCCATGTCTAAAGATGTCCTGCTTCTGTGCATGCTGTCTGAGTAACTGGTGGTATTAAGGGACGCTTTAAGAGAGAGATTCGTGTGGAGGACTTATCTGCAGAAAGGAGTCCACGTGTCCAAAGCCTTCCTTCTGAGACTGCCACCTTTCTGTAACACGCCTTGACGATCATGGTCTTTAAGGATCCTTCAAAGCACATTTAATGCAGTGACCGTCTCACGTCTCAGGTTGAGTAACTCTGTCAAAACACGGGCTGTATTTCTTTAATAAGTCCGATCAGCTGCAGGAGAACTCCAGGCTGACAGCAGAGTGAGGGACGGAGTGTGGATCCGCTCTGACAGACATCATATGAGTCCTCAGAAACAAATATCTGTCTTTATTTGTCTTTAAAGTTGTCTCTGAGCGTTGGAGACCTTAAAAAGCAGGTGAGAGACTTTCTCCTGTCTCTCTGGATGTCTGTCGGATCCCAAAAGCCTCCGTTATATAAGCCTCTCTTTCACCTCATGTAATTGTAGTATAAACTCAATTTTGGTAGAAGTACTTATTGTCTAATGAGAGGAAGGTCTCTCTCCGGCCAAGCATGTGTGAAAGCTCTTCTTTCTTTAGTCTTGGCAATAACAAGTTAGGGTTCAAACCGGACACTTCACACACACATGTCAGCAGGCATCACTTATCCATATGTCTGTAAGACAGAGGAGATGGAATTGGACTGACTGATATATGCATGTTTCTAAGAAAGCCTCACCAGCTGTGAACAAACTCTTAAAGCCTCGTCCAGATCCTCTCAGATGAGCGAGCGCTGCACACACGCCCCAAAAAGCACACATAATAAGATTCTCCGCGTTAAACAGCCAGAGGAGAGGCAGTCAGCTGAGTGTGTGCAGCTTCTCACCATCCAAGATAATGAGGAAGACAATAACGTGTTATGGAGCCACACACACGCACACACACACACACACACGCACACACACACACACACACACACACACACACACACACACACACACACACACATTCAACATTCAAAGGTTTATTCACAAACAGTGTATGGCAATGAAATGTTTCTGACCTGAGCTCCTCCACCATCTTTATTAAAACACATAAATACTAAATAAAAGTTGTGTGAAAAGTTAAAATCCATCGATCTGTCACATGTGAATATAATACCTATATCTTGTTATTGTTCATTTGTCAATGCAACATGAACATTTTCTACTCTCTTCTTGATTTCTAGTCTTTTAATTGTTGTTGTTAATGCCTTGTCTTTTGATGCAGCTTGGGATGAAGGAAGTGCTTCTGATCTGAAATAGAATAATGTGAACGAAGAAGACAAAGTGACCTACTGACTGTATGTCTCGTATGTCTTTGCTTTATTCTCAAAGCCTGAATGATCAGTAATCCAGATTCTTGTGCAGAAGAGCAGACCGTCCTCTTGATGTGGTCTTTTCAGCGTTGGGAGATAATTAGGATGTGTTCAATAATCAAAAGCCACCACTGACCTCCTTCT